TAGAAACAGCATATGTACCATTAGTTTCCCTACGCACGTACGTGTTTTTACAAACGAGCCAGAAATTATAATTCCGAATTGCAAAATGTAATCCAACTGGAGTACATTTCTCATACCCAATCTGAACTTACACCATCTTGCACTTTGATTGATTTGCGTCTGAAACAACAGGGGAAAATTGTTCATTTTTTCATAAGCGTCTGATGGGTTTCTTTCCACCTACTTTTTGCCACAGAAACCGAAAATGACTTTAATATATTCCCCAGCTTATACCTGTTTTTCAAAATGACGAAAACCACGAGTAGCTTTTAATACTACTACTAAAAGTAAATTGTATTTTTGGAAGGTTCCTTTCCACCGATTTTAGTCCAGCCGAGGATTGATTTCAAAAACTTTCAATGAGTTTGTTTGAATGTGTTTTCATATTCCATCGTAAAAAGAGCCGAGACACGTACTGCCGTACTAAGGCAAAACGCCGTATGCACGTTTGAGAGTTGCCAAATTTCATCGGATGGAAAATGAAATTTTGGACAAAAATTTGTACATTCATTCTTGAAATTTTCAGATGTACTAGATTAAATTCCGAACAGAGACCTTCAAAAATGTTGAAGACAAATATTCACAACTGTCCAGGTAAATTCCGTTCGTATTGAGGGAAATATGGCAACGTCTGAAGGCCCATACGGCGTTCTTCCTGAGCGCGACAGTGTAGCGCTTTAATTCGCGCTTTATCTACGGGGCTATCGGAGCTTTTTAGTTCTCGGAAGGTGTTATCCCTCATTCGGGGGGCCCTACTTGGCAGTCTTTCAAAGGGCCTACGCCGAGCGAACACCTATACGCTCAACGCCCGCCCGCGACTACCTCTGCCTTCAACCTCCTGGCTCCCGTCCCGTCTGCGCCCTCCTTGACAAATGATAAAGGCTCCACGGTCCACCTTTCGTTCCCGTTTCGACATTTCCCTCACGTTCATCGCCAGCATATTTACATAACTCTTAGGGCCGTCTTCCTTTTTCTTTGCCCGTCACGCGTCTCCTTCCTCTACATTTCCCCCGCATCAGTGGCGTGGCGCTCTTTGCGATCCATCGATATTTCCCCATTGGAAGCTACGGTAAATAATCGATTATTAAGGGTTACCATGTTTATCGATCCTTTTCCATAGGTTTAAATTGCCGATCAAACGATAGATCGCAAAGCACGCCACGCCCTCTGCTCCGCATTCTGCAATTCGAATCTCATCTCCATTGTGACATGCCCCCCCCCAGCCCCCCGCTCTGCCGAGTCCAAAGGCATCTCTGATTTGTCATGCAGCTTGTCTTTTCTCCTCCGATTGAATTCGCCCTCAACTCGCGGCTCTAATGGCGATGAGCTAGGGTTCTCACCGTTTGTCTCGACATTTAGGCTCGGTTTTATCACCTCTTGGTATAGGTACAACCTTTGGCTGAACTTTGAGGGGTACTTTGAGTTATTTTTGAAGAGTCGGTCAAATGGACCGCGTTTGGCAGAACGGTACCAAGTCTACATCAGGTATTGCCAAATTTCATGGGGCAATTAAATGTTTTACATAAAAACTGTTGTGCATGCGTATTTTTGGGCAAAGTTCAGTGAATTTTCTGCACAGTAAGTTAACGCAGTCCAGATAAAGGGTTGTTTTGAGCCCCTTTTGTGAGGAGCTTGGTGATTTTTCCATTTTTTCAGTTCCAAAAACATCACAGAAAATCTCTTTCTAGCCAGCTAGCTGTCTGACGTGCGGTTAATAAATAACTACACTGAAAAAAGTATGGTAACATTCACTACAGGTCTGCTTGATACTTTACACAGTGATAATATCCGGTGAAAATAACCAAAATTATAGCAGCATTCACCAGAACTCTAATGACACTTACCATAATATGGTGAATGCTACCATAGAGTCTGGTGTGTATTACCATACTCGGATAACTGTGTCAAGGTATGTTAAAATCTACCATTTATTTTCAGTGTAACCCGATTGTTATAACTATGACGGTAGTTATCTTTTTAACCAGCCGCTATAGTTGTGACGACAATCCTATTTCTACCGTAAAGATACCCCGTAAACATGCTTTTGGAGTGTGGATTCGACGAAAAACTGGATATTAAAAATGCAGAAGGAAATACCATTCCCGCATCAGGAATTCACGAGGAACTTGGTAATCCGGAGGAAAAAAAATCCAGGATTACTTATAAAAAAGACTACCACTCGACCGTGGAGTCCCTCCCAGAGACGGAAGCGGCGGAAGCGTGATAACTTCTTAACGGGGATTACACGTTACAATATTTAACGAATTGGTCATAACAAACTTTGTCCGCACGGGACTTGCATTCGGAGGGAACAAGCGTCGAATCTTAGAGAACCACCGACTCAGCATTCGGAAGCGGATCCCGCGGCGGGGGGCGGGGGGGGGGG